GTCCAGGTTGTGTGGGTCTTGTAAGGTGCCATTTGGATGCCAAATGTAGCTCAAGTGTGCTTAGAGCACTTTTCCGCAAAACGGGAGGTGTGGGTTGGAATCCGAATTGGAGCGAAGAGTTTCGCACACTTCTTAGGATTTCTGTAATAATTTTCGTATGGCGAACTGCGGCAACAAAACAGCGAATAACAGCCAACAACAGGAAAGAGCTTTCCACGAAAACTCCATGAATAAAGTCATTTCGGAAATGTGTACTCCTGATAGAAACTATTCGATATGAATTTTCATATTACCAAAAATCGAAAGTCTTGTGAACTCCGATGATGTTTGTGGTTTCCCGAAATTTCGTGTTTGCAGAACGTTGTTGTAGGCAATTATCCGCGAAGGACCACTTTTGATTCGGCTTATTAGTAGAATAAGCTTTCAGTTTTCAGCGCCTCTGACCGATTGAATGCATCTGAAGAGAGCTGCAGCTCCTGACAAGTTCCAAAAACTTTTTTCCATTTTTGACCATTTTTCCCTTCGAAGACATACGAAACAAAGAATGATATGGCTTCCAAAAAATACGAACCGGCGTTCTCAGAAAATTTTCAGCCTTGATACGTGAAGTGCAGAATTTTGTAATTTTTCATAATGTCATAATGCAGCTAGCTTAGTACTTCTCCCAAGTGAATTATGGAAACTGCCGCTTTTTCCCTGCGTTCTAACTCGTACCATTTGAAAAAATGGATAACGTTTCAATTCCAGTTCCGAAACGTGACGCGCTCTAATTTCAAGAAACAAGAACAACTGGCCTAGTATTATGCATAAGTCAAATGCCATACATAGGCCCTTTGCTCTGGGAGGCAAGAGCCGTGGGTGGGGGGTGGGGAAGGGAGGGGGGGGGGGGAAGGGGGAGGGGTGGGAGGAGGTATCGTGTTCGCTTGAAAATGAAGTAATGGGTATGGAGATGGACGCCAGTGAGATGAAAGTGAAACATGCTACGAAAAATAATGAAATTATGAACCACCTTTTTGTGTGAGGTCGACCGGGGTACGACGAAGAGAAACAGTGTGGCCAGGAGTGTTTGCATGCTAGAGGGTACTTCGTGACGAAGAGAGTTGATCCAGCTATTAAATCACAGCCCGCGCCTTTGAGCGAATTCGCAATGAAAATCCGTTCCGTCCTGGGTTCGTATAGAAACAGCGAGAGTTGTTTACCAGTGATGATCGCATCCCAGCTAATCTCATTTATGTTTATAGTCTAGTTGCAGACAGTACGAGCTCAAATCGATATTTCACCATGTGGCACAATGAAGGGCTGTCTTTTCGCCCCTCCAGGATGCCGTCCAGGGCAGAACTGTCAAATTCAGTTCAGCTATCAGGTGCGTTTTTCCTGCATCCCAAACTCATTCACTATGAAATATGCCTCTAGGATTCCATTTATTGTTTGTTAATAAATGCTGACTATTTTATATGAAGTATTGATAAGTTATAGGTTGTATTGTTATTTTCTTCACCTTACAAGGAAAGTTCGAAAATCGAGGGCATCAAATAATACCGACGCAAAAAAATTTACCCAATATTAGGTTGTCTCATAAACAGTGTCGCTTTTTTTCAACCAAAAAATTTTCATCTAAATCCCCATGCTTTTACATCGATCATATACCATTCGAAAGAGAATTGTCTGCTCTACAAGATGCTATGTTCTTCCATCTATCTCCATGGTTTTCAATTAAATCTGCGAACTGGGAGTCCGCATACGAAAATGGCCAAACCGACAACTATCTCTAACATTATCTTCCCTTGGGAGAAATCAATCTATGATGTACCCTCTACTTATGCATGACCTCTTCTAATCATTACACTACTAGGTTTTCCTACAAATCGCGTCGTTCCATTTCCAGACCTGGTTTTTCAACCAGAACTCGACGGTACTTAAGACAGTCGGAATTTTTTATAGCCAAACATTGAAAAACTATAGAATTAACTGAGAGCAACTCATGACTGGGGGAAGAAGGAATGAAGAATGAAAACTAAGAAATTACGCCGATTGATGTTCCTATCTTATCAGATAATTTTGTTCAAAGAAACTGTTCTTTCGTGGATAAAGCACCTTACTCCTAAACACCTAAAATTCGAGCATATCCTAACAAACATCAGAACAAAACAAATGAGCGAATAGAGCAGAAGAAGAGCTCAAAAAATATACACCAGTTGATATAAAACAATAGCGTTTCAGGAGAATTTCAATTTGAAAATTGCCATGGCTTATCGGTCGGCCAATTCGAAAAGAAACAGGGCAAACCTTTTTCGGCAACCTAAGGGTGGAATGTTCAGAAGAGGTCATGAGTAAGTAGAGGGTACATCATTGATTGATTTCTCCGCAGGGAACATAAAGTTAGAGCTAGTTGTCGGTTTGGTCAATTTTTGTCGGCGGGACCTCCCATTTCGCAGGCCTTAAAATTTGAAAACCATGGAACATAGATGGAAGAAGAACACGATATCTTGTAGAGCAGACAATTCTCTTTCGAATGGTAATGACTCGATGTAAAAGCATGGGATTTAGATGAAAAAATTTTTTGGTTAAAAAAGCACACTAATAGGACAACCCAATATAATGAAAAGTAGCCTGTTTTCATCCATATATTAGGTTGTTTCATTAGTAGTATCGTTTTTCCGAAGAAAATGTTTCCTTCGAACCCCTTTGACTTTACGTAAATTCGTTCCACGTTTCAAAGAGATTTATCTCCTCTATAAAATGGTGTGCTTGTTCTTATTTTGGATGAGTCCTTTAAGGCAAAAGTCGGGCTCAATAAGGGGGTATTATGGCGATTGAAACTGAGTATAGAGATGCGAAGTGGAACGACAGTGGAGAAAAAACTGAGAAAAACCGTCGACAAGGCCGTTAACAAAAACCCTCTTCCCACTAGCAGTGAAGGAGGCTGGCTTGGGAAAGAGGCACGTACAAACAAGTTTTCTGGAGATGTCAGTCGTTCTATCGGTTGATACGGCAATCAACCTAGCTGATTTCACACGTTATGCCAGCCACGCACCACTTCCGGAGGTGGGCGGTCCCGGATTGACGAGGCGGTCCCGGATTGAAACCGACGGCCCCGGGGGCTTAACGACGTTTTTCAAGGTGGGAAGTTGCTGCAATGTGTGCAGCTACCCACATACAACCTCCAGGCACGGGAATTACTTCTCTAGCGTGCCTGAGCCCGACCTTTGCCTTTAAGTTTAGGCCTGCTAACTAAAGCTCCGCTCATCTGGGGCACCGCGCTAGGAAGGAGCATAGTCCCATAGACTGACCTATGTCCTGGTCTTTTCCTATTTTGCTACACGCCCTAAGTAAGACTACCTTCACTTTCTACAGACGATACAAAGGCAGAGTTTACGATGAAGAGCTGTCCGTTAGAAATCAAGGTAAAGGCGATCATGGTGACGGGATAAAGGGAAAACCTTTAGCTTGCCCAGAATCCAATAAATGAGGCCCCTTCTTCGCCCGTTGGTTTTCGAATTGATGGCGCTAATCTCTTGAACGCTAACTCTATCCCTGCCAAACGGCTTGTATCACATGGCGAGACGACCATGTTAAATCGCGGGGCGTGCTTCGCTGCGGATTGGGAGTTGCCCCCCTCCAGAGGATCCGCCTGCCTTTCCACTAGGTGTGTTTCCCTTCTTCAAGCTCTGAACTATCCTAGAATCCTCGTTCAGGACTCTCAATATCAGGGTGAGCCAGTGAGGCTATTTACAATGGCTGAAAATATAAACACGCTTTGCCAGCACTACTATACCGAACCCTGCCCCAAATGGATTTACCTAACCGGGAAAAAATGCTTTCTTTTCATTATAAGGGAAGACTCATTATAATTTGCTGATTCTGTTCGAGTTTAGATCGATGGTGCGAATTTAGCAATGGAACTGGCCGGTACACCGCCGGCAGCTAATGGCTACATTGCAGTCGGTTTTTCGAAAGATGACCAAATGGTCAGTACCTTATTTTTCATGGATTTTTTGCATTTTGTCATCCAGCTCGTCCTTTGTCCTACGTGTCTACTATTAGAAACTGGCGCTATCGCAATATACGGGGCAATCTAGGGCTAAGCTGAGGAGGAGGAGGAGTTCCAGGGAAGACAAAAATGGCTCACGCTCCTTCGAGTCTTTCTCCCCGCCAAAGGTGTCCTGTTTTTAACAAAACGGCTTGTTTTACGCGAATTCAGATCCATTGCCATCACAATGCCCCTGTATATTGCGATAGCGCATAAAATTGTTCTGATTTACGAGTGAGTTTGTGCGAAGTTCCACAACCCTTCATGCCTTTTTGACCTTTCCTAAGAGTGTAATGGTTTTCGATCGGGTAGCGCCGTAACTATTTGTTTAACGATGACACATGCATTACCGTATTATGTGTTCCCAGTTAGAAAGTGAATCATTGCAGCTTTGACCAAAGAGCACGTTCAATAACTATCTGTTTGCTTACTGCAGCCATTGTGAGTGCGCCGATGCCGCGGAGTTCGCAAATGACAACTGATCGGACTCAGTTATTGAAGGATTCGACCGGGGGTGACGATGAACTGAGATTTCTAGATTGGAATTTTACGTAAAGGTTAATTTCGAGATTAAAACCTTCACATGAGAAGCTCTTACCTCAGTTTCTCTCGAGAATGCAATTTGAGTGATAAGGTGTCGGTAAGGTATTTGTCTGGGATATACTGGTGCTGGTTAAAGAGGCTTTTCATCATCTCATGCCTTTTTAAAGTTTTATGCTAGGTGCTCTAACGCGATGCTTTGAGCACTTCTGATATTACATAGAGACGAATTTGAGGTTAATACCTTCGCGGTTGGGCTGGAACTCAAACGTGTGGCGCAACTAAAAACAGCTGAACCACCCTCACCTTATGTGTTAGGCTGAGTCATAAGTAATTGCCGATTTGACAAACTTTTTCAAAAGTTCACAACTTTCTTTTAAACCGCCTCGGTTAGAACAACCGTATGAGTGTCCTCTATCTATCCGCAAGTGAATGGATACCTCTCCCACAAAACCGAGCAACCTTCGACGTCAAGAATCAGTGGATGTCTTGAGGTGGTCGCCATCATCGTAGTTTTTCTCGTTAAGGAAACGAGCAAGCAAGCGGAGCAACTGGTGATTGGTTGCTATACCTCAGTGGATTAGAAAGAGTGGGAGAAATCATGAGGCCAAGTTTCTGTATAGTATTCTGGCATTCTCTCGATACATGTGGGTTGCGAGCTGCCGCGCAGTGGAACAATTCTTATGACTCAACCTATACGGTACAGTTTTGGCTTGTACTGCTTGTATTTTTTAGCCGACTGAAAATCTCCGATTGAGGCAATCACTGCTAAGCACGTTTTTTACGGATTGCTGCGAGCTGCTGTAAGCTTTGCGACTCAGCAATGCTCTCCCTAGCTTCAAATCTTCCCCACCCCTAACTCTGACATAAATATCATTCCGTACGTCGAATTGGTCTACCACAATTCACGGTTACTAGACGAAACAAGCAGACATCTCATCCCATTCGAGGTGGACTGGGAACAAACCAAAGTTGATGTGTAACTCTTTTAGGTGATGTTCTATGCATTCCACTTCCATACAAATTGTAGTGTCACAGGAATCTGGCTACCATGCACAGTGGGCTGCATGTCGGATTACT